AATTGCAAGGAATAATCAATTTCATGTATAACCACCCTTGATTCGTTTAGAGATAGAGCGGTGATTATTTGAAGTTTAGTACTATGACTTTCATGAATCATTTCAGTTAGAAAGTTGCTATGTTCCCAAAGGAGGCCTACTCTTTCCGTACACCGTAACAAACGTCAACAAACGCTGAAAAACTGCACGGTATGCCAAATATTCACCTATCATCCGGACATCTACACTCACGACCCTCGGAAGGAAAAAGCAATTTCCACTTGCATACGTGGCCAAACAAAAAATCAACGATTCGGAGTGTTTCAGAGTAAGAAGTGGAAGAAGGTCGAAAAGGTTATTTCTTCAGGGGTGCTCGAGCGGCACGATTAAAAGCGTTTCTTCGTTCAATGTTTTTCCACGGCACGGTACACGGTACTTACGTAAGGCGACCCGGTGTGCATGTCTCCGTTATTTATGTCATTTCAGAGGTTTTCTTTAGGTCAATCCGTTTAGACAGGCGCACGCACGTGTGTCCAGTATCCGACGCCGGCAATCGGTTTAATGTTAAACAGTTCGCTGGCCCTATACGCAATTAGATTACGCGCGCGCGATAAATGGCGGTGATCCGGCTCTTCCTGGTCGCGATTGGGCTTTCGCAAGAAACTTGGCTGCCTTCCGTGAGATAGGCCACGCGATCGGCTCGTCAACGCTGTTAGGCTACTCTTAGCTGGGATAGCGAATCCTGTGCGATCATCGTATGGGCTCGAATTCACTCGTGGAGATAAGAAAAATTACTCGATCCACGACGGATCGATCGGTTCTGGCGATCCATGGTACGGAATTTTTTGAAATTTAGGTATGAAGTGGTTTACGTTAAATGCGGAAGGGTTTTAGTCATCATTTTGGTGGGTGGAAGTTTGTTTGAGAAGTACAGACGGCTGAATTTTGCAAATTTTCAGGATTGAAATAAAAGTGGGCTGGAATGTTTGGCATAATTCATTGTCACTGGAAGTAATTGAACCTCGATTATTGTAGGAAATTAAGGCTTTAATTTCTGCAATAATCGAAGATATAAATGTAAAAGAGAATTCTTCAAATTTCTCTGTGTCCTGAAGATAGTGAGTGATACTTGTTACTCTTACTTTTATCAGCAATTGCTTAGGTCTCTTTGACACCATTCAATCAAACCCAAAGGAATCATATTATTACCCTAACATCCCACAAAAAAGTCGAACGTCCACAACGACAACCGTGGAATCAAAAGCTATTTGTACGAGAAGGAACTTTTCAAACGGTCCTCGTAGACCTCCGTGATTGTAGTTTTACGCGACAAGTAATCGATGGGACGCCTTCCGCATCCCAAAAAGCGGTGACCTGAGCCATCTTTGTGCCGTAACGGAAACTACTTGACCTCCCCACGCACGCGTCGAAGGGGTGGGAAACGTTTTTGCGGGAAAGATAGAGTTGTTCGCTGGAAAGTGCAGAGGGAACGCTGGGAAATAAAATTGTGGGTGAGAAGCAAAGGTCAGCTGGGCACACAGTTACACGCTTCATTTGCGAGAAACGCGGAATTCCTGTTCTCTTTTCTGGGTTGAGATTAAAGGGCACGGGTTTTTGTTGCGTTCGATCATTCCACGGGATCGGGGGCCTTTAATTTGCGGGCTCGTTGCTGAAACGAATCTGTGGCGAAACGAGAGTAGTGCCATGATTGTTTCGTATGTCGTTAAATAGACTGATTTCTATTTGTGTTAACTCTTTTAGTTAGGTGGATCAAAAAGTGTTCCACCTTACCTCGAATATTTTATTTAATATTTTTCCTTTATTTGCTATGTCATGATTTGGGTAAAGACAGATTATGCAAGTCAAAACATGTTAATGAGTTGTTGGCGTTATATCTGTGTTCGGTTTGAATTTTATTTTTCTTCGAAATCGTGTTTACTCATTTTTATGTTTACTCTTTTGGATTCGAGTCATCTTCAAGACCTGTGCAAATATTGCAATTCATACAGAAGAATATCATAATATTTCCTTCATAATACATGACTCTTCAATAGAATACAACTAAATTTTATGAAAATTGATAATTTCGAAATGTTCATAAATGCAATGCAATATAATTAATTCAGTTTATTAAATGTGGCGAATCATTGAAATTGACCGTAGTTTGTTATGGAAATGAATTATAATTAATTTATTATCGGAACAGAGTTGTAAAATACACCGTGTACACACATTGATTAAGTAAATATCGAGCTTTGTTTGCTCGAATAATGGCTTCGTGGTCTGATGTAAATTAACAAACATTCGACTACCGTAGTTGTAGATGTATCGAACGGATTTTTCGCGCTGGCGAAACTCGGTGCGAAATATCTGCCAGAAATCTGACTCTATTTAATTCACGATGACATCCCGTTTTTCAACGACGATCGATCACCGTGTTCTTGCCAGCGCCTTGCTCTGAAAACTTTGGCCAACTCCACTGTGAAACGATTGCCACCGATTAGGCGCCACGTTTCGCCAAAATCGTGCCAATGATCGTCACGACGCTTTCGGAAATTCCCAGCGAGATTTCGAGCGACACACATTTCGTTCCGTTTTCATTAGCAGGTTGAAACGAGATTCGGAACACGCTCAGGCCACATTCTCGCAAAATAATGATCAGTTTCCCGATTTGGCATCGAAAGAAGATCGATATTTGCTAAAGAAGGAACAATTAGAAGGTTATTATTATTGCAAATAAGCATAATAGTACACAAAACATTTACTTTATATCAAACTGTGTTTCGTATAGCACTTGTTTCTTCGACTAGTAGTACGTAGCGAAAACGATGCACTATGATATATGTCATTACACGTCTATTTGCAAATGGGCAGAAACTTTTCCAAGTGCAAAGATTACAGACTATAGGATTAAGTGTACATCGAATGTGAATTGGAGTGTGCTAGTTTTCAATACTCTGGGAATTATAGTTAGCAAAGCTAGTTCTTATAGCATACTTTATCAAACCTTTCCTATGAAATTTCGTTTCGTATTATACAAAGAAGGATAGGATTACACTATCGAAGTCATTGATTAAGGTACCAAATTAAATATCGAAAAATGTAACAATTTATTCACTCGTTGTTTCTGTGATCTCAACTTGATACAGTTTACACGCGAGTTTCCATACTAACCAGCTTGATGAAAATCTTCAGTTTTCTCCATCCAAGCAACTGTTTGTCTCATCACATCTATTTCCCATTAAAAGTGACGACTTGTTTCAGAAATGGACTTCCTTTGTCCTTCCAAAGTGACAAAGAGGCCATCTCCATTCACTTAGGATCCTAAATGTCGCTCAATTTATACGAAATCCACTTATTCTCTTCACTTTGTCAATCTCACTCCGAATAGTGAACATTTATTAATTAACAACCATTTGTGAAATTGTCACTTGTTCAGGTTAACGTCAATTATTGTCAACAATATCTTTAAGAATTTAATTTCAGTTCAAGTCTCAAAGAAAGTCTTAAACAAAGATTATCGATGTTTATGAAGGACTTTGTCATAAAGCTGCAAATTATAGTGAATATTTCGAACTTCCTTTAATACAAAAACGAATCGATCTACTCATATTTTAAAAAGACGCAACAATAGAACTAAAAATCGAATAACATAAGAAAAATTGAATTTTCCAGTTTGAATTGGTAAAGAACGAACCATCGATTCGTGATCATTCTCAAGTCATCGGGCGATGGTCGATGTCATTCTTGAATTAGCGACACGATCGCTTTTTCCTCTCGCGGTGCTCCCGCGCGTACATTCATTTCTCGAACAACTTTACGCGGGCAAAGTTTGTGAAGTAGACACTCCGTAAATGCAAATTTTAGCTGCAAACTCTAATTAAAACGCAGAAGTTTTACGAACACGCGAGGAATATTCCGTGCACGGGTTCCCCGCAGTTTTTGACACAATTCGCGAAGAACACTTGATCGCGGCGGCCGCGGCGCTCGTTAGGTGGAGCTGAAAATATTAGCAACCCATGATTCAATTAGGCCCGCGCTATAAATTTATTCGAATTTCGAAACACGCATACGCGGTGCATCGTCCTTGATGGTTGCGTGCGAAAGCTGATTCCTATGCACATATCAAATCGCACGTGTGCGTTTCAGACGTCTTGGTTAAAAAGTTCATTTGCTTTTCATGTAATCTTACGATTTGCGTTGATGGATCTTGCTCGAATAAAGAGGGAGTAATTAGCTTACATGTCGTGTATCATTCGTGTAAATAGATATGCAAATGGCACCTTAGAATCTTGTTGACACTCGTTCTTTCTCGCTTTTCTTTAAATCCATGAATGTAGATTGATGTGTTGTACAATGTATATTGCTGATGTATTATTCATAGGAATTCGTTTACAAATTGGTAATGATGTTTTTATTTATTCAGGGAATACACGATGATTGCAAACATTTTATGTCGAGCAGTAGTTCTCAGACTAGACTATTATGTACACGTGAGGAGCTTACTTATTCCTAAAATTAATTAATACAGTTTTTATTGAAACTACAATATTAGTCTATATATATAATTTGATAGAGTCTCTGGAATTGCCTTAGATCCTCATCGGGTCTTATTCATCGACTAAATATAATGATACTCTAGGTTTGTCCACAAAAACCAACTTTCTTAGTGGTTCCCTATACATCAACTACCTGTTTACCTTCAGAAATTATCCTTCTTCTTAGCAACCTACACTCTTCTCTATTCAATAATTCTACCCACAAAAAAAAACAGTCTCTAATAACCCACCTCTTCGATTCTAATTCACTCCCTCGACCTATCGACAAAGTCAAACGCCCCGGACGCGTCGATCCGCCGCGCTCGCGACCCATCGTCGCGGCCGACGCGAATTATTCAGACCCCGAACGGCCTCTAATAATCCCACGGCAATTTGATCCACGTAAAAACGTTATTCTCCCTTTATTATTACGATACGTCCCGGTTATTATCACGTACGGACGCGTTATCAAGGGGGTCTCGAGGCGAATCACGCGAGCATCGCGCAGCCCCTCGTGCACGCCATCCGCGCCTATCCGAGGACATATCGCGCGAACACACGCGTTCGCTCGTGGCTTCGTCGCAGCGGATAATTACGTGTGCGGTACACCGCCGCGTTTCCGCGGGTTCGCACATGGCCGCGACACGTGCGTGCGCGCGGCGTTCACGCATCAGACGCCAGCAATAAATACGGCCGCGAGATAAGCGACAATATCGTCAGCTGATATCGGTCGTGCATCTACTCGCGAACGCGGCCTGGAATCGTGCCGGGGTTTCTTTGGATGCAACGTCCACTCGTTAGGTCGTGGCGTTTCGAAGAGCTTGACGTGTATGATTTTGTAGCAGTTATGTATGAGGATGTTAGGTATGATTTCCCTTGTTAATGATTCTTTTAAACGATAGCATTCTCGACCGTTCATATTGCGATTAAAATATAACTTAGAAGTTTTTTGTAGAACGAAGTAGATGAAAATACAGTTCATAATCTGTTAGGTCTTTTCCACTATTTTATTTTAGAACTTTTCACCATCTCATTTTAGAATATTTCACCGATTTACGATTTCTTTAAACGATAGAATTCTTGATCATTCATATGACGATTGCAATATAACTTAACAGAGTTCATGTGGATGGAACAAAATCTGAAGTCTTGAACATTCCATAAACAAGCAATCATAGTCAAATAAAATAAATGGTCTATTTTTCGTTCCGAAAGGAACACTTAGGACATCTCAAATCTGTATGGTGCATAGTCTGTTGGCCTGATTGTTAATTTAATTAATCTGAAGATAGAACTCGGACTGCGACTATTCTATAAATTCATTTCAATAAATGACTATTTCATAGAGTATCGATTCAAGAAACTACTACAATGGGTGACGATTGAGACGTCTTTTCAATTTTGCATACATATTAATGTTTCGACCGTAGGTGAATTACGATGGCAAATTTTCCAAAGTGAGTCATTTTATAACGCAACGAACCAGAGCCCCGGCTTAAACGATGACCGCGGCGTTAAGAAACGCGCGGTGCGCAGCGTCGAATAAATCGCGAGGCTCGAGCGAGCGTCGCGCTTCCGCGGACGCTGATTTATGGCGGAGGAAATTGTGATAGCGCTGGCCAAGGGTCCCGACTTACGGTTTTCCCGCGGCGGACAAGGAATTCCAATTTAGACATCCGCAGTGCCGTGTTCTTTTTCGCGTTGTTCGCGTTCATGCGGGACGGCCCACGCTGGAAAACGCCGCGCAGGGTAATTTATGCTAGCTGCCGCGCGAACGACAAGTATGGCGCGATTAGAGGCGTCGTTGCCTAATGGCGTCCGATTGGTTTAGATCCAACCGTTCTGGGGCCGAGTTGAGCAAATTATCAGCAGTTAATTAGGATTAATTATAAAACTATTCGCGTTATTTTCTCTTTTATGAAAAAAAGTTACTTTTGTATAGGTAGGTAAAGTATTGTCTGGAAAGTCAATGTCGATTTTTGATAGGTGGTACAGGTCTGAATATATCTCTTAAAAGGTGGAAAGGTTGTGAAACAAAATGATATCGATGTAAGTCAATAAATATATACATAAAGTTCAAATGTACCTTTGAATTTTTCTTAAAAATTGGCACGAACTTTCTGAACAATCCAATAAAATATTGAAAGAAATCTCTGAAAATGTCAAGGTTAATGGTGCTCGATTGTTTACCTGAAACGAAGAAATGACTTAATTGTGGAGTAGTAAAATTTATGCACAGGTAGTTGAAGACACAACAATCATAATTGTGTTAATTTAATGTCGTAGCCATGTGATACAAATGCCACCACTGAGTATGACATCATTGAATGAAAATAGACGAGGATCTAAGACCTCTTTTCCTAGGCAAGTCGATTCTTTTACCAGTCTATAGGTATCATAAATCTCAGAACGCTTGCTGTCAACACTACAGTCTCTACATAAAACTCTACATAGAATAAATCGTCTCAGTAATCGAACCGAAATCTGCAAATCGTTACGCTCTCTACCGATTCGCTTCTCCCTCGCTGTCAAACGTCTTCAACTTCTCTCCGCTACGTCCCACGAACTTCTCCGGTAAACAATCTCGCCCAGAAATCGCGCTCGTGGCGCGAACAGAAAAATAACGAGGAATACGCGACGATGAAAAGAAAGAAAAAAACAAAACATTCGACTACGAATAAAAAAGAAAAGAAACGAAGCGAGGATTAACGCGAACCGGTACAAATGTTTCTTCTGCAGCAGGGTTGCGGGGTGCAGTTCAGACATGGGAAGTGAGCATTACTGCCTGAGGTGGAACAATCATCAGAGCAACTTGCTGGGTGTGTTCAGTCAACTGCTGGAGTCGGAGTCGCTGGTGGACGTGACATTGGCGTGCACGGAGGGACCTTCGATACGTGCCCACAAGGTAGTCCTCTCCGCGTGCTCCAGCTACTTCCAGGCTCTGTTCCTCGACCATCCGAATCGCCACCCCATAGTCATCCTAAAGGACGTACGTTTCGCCGAGCTACGTACACTCGTCGACTTCATGTACAAAGGCGAGGTAAACGTCGAGTACTGCCAGCTATCGGCCCTCCTCAAGACTGCGGAGAGCCTCAAGGTGAAGGGTCTAGCGGACATGACGAACATCAACGCGGCGGTAGCGTCGAGGGACGAACAGCAACAACCACCGCCGCAACAACAGCAACAGCAGCAGCAGCAGCAACAACAAACCCAGCAGCAACAGCAGCAACAACAACAACACACGAGCGCGTCCGAGGGTATACAGCGCGAAACGTCGCGGGAACATCACCGAGAACGCGAAAGCATAAAGGAAGCGAGCAATAAGGAGAGAGATAGGGAAGGAAATACATCCGGTGGCACGGGGTTGCCATCGGGAGGGGTGAAAGAATGCGAGCAACCCCAACAAATCGTAGTCCAACCACCCACCAGCGAGTCCACCGAGGCGGTAGACATGACGGAGTGTCCGCCATCGCCCACAGGACCCGGTAGCCCTTGTCCAGGACCCTTGGCCCTCGATCGACCCAGGAGGGACTCCGAAGACGCTGCCAGCCTAGAGGAAACGAGGGGTTCCCTCAGTCCGATCTCGGTGCACAGCGGACCGTCAGACATGAGTCTCAGTAACAACACTGGTGGCACGCCTGGTGTGTTACCGTTGAACCTACCGCAGAGCCGGCTTCCGTCCCCGCACAGTACAGAACCTCTGGCGGGCCCTTCGGGGTTACCTCCAGTCCAGCAAGTTCCACTTGTGAGTAACATTCTTTTTTATCTCGATTTTAATGCACCCCGCAGAAACACTACGTGAAATACACTCGGTTCGAACGATTTTATCACGGACGCGTTAGGTTGGTAGTGGCAAGTCATCCTTGGTGGTTCTGAATAGTATGAAAATGGTTAACTCTGAACCTACCACGACCGGTCAAATGACCGTTTTCAAATTTTTATTTACGGTTCTTGTATACTGTATATGAATTACATACAATTGTTTCATGCATTATTTAATTTAGTTCTACGTCAAATATTTTTCCATGTAATATGAAAAATGTGTCTTTAAACAAATGAACGTCGGTAGGTTTAGCGTTAAGACGAGTCAATAGTATGAGTTGCAAGTATCCATGCATTAAAATCTAAATTCTTTTGTGTCGACATTGCTAGAGATTTCGAGTATGAACACCAAATCAATATACACTGCAAACATCCACATGTCTATAATATAATTTCAAAGTTTCTTGTATTAGAATTCTTGTATTTTAAGAAGAAAGAAGTCTCGCTTTCTTTTTTAACCAACACCACGATTATATCGCGCACGCGACGTTTCAACTTTGCCCCTCGAATTTCTATATCGCGTCTAATCGGGTTCGGTGTTCCGCTTAGAGCGTTTCGCACAAGCGATTCCGTTGCGTCGATCGCGGTGAGGAGAGTTCATACTTTCCCGATACCATCGACGGCTATCCAATTATTACTTTGACGTGTGCCCAATGTTCGTTTCCAGTCGTTAAAAAAAGAGATGGACTGGGAAAGGTCGACCGAGGATCGGAGCGCGAGCAGCGAGATATCCACGGACTACAGACTCCCGCCAGATCCGGTGAGTGTCTCTCGTTTTTTCCATCCACTATACATTCCAATTTATTGACTACTTTTTATTCTCGTACTTTCTCTTTACTCTGCATTTATATATCGATTACGGTTTTCGCCAGTAATGCCCCTACCGCACTCGACTCATCTGCAATCGCATAAACACCAACCCAGGCATTGCGGATGAGCTGACGCGGCTCTTGCAAACAAACAAAAAAATGAAAAAAAAAAATGAAAGAAAAATTAAAGCGCCTGCAACTCGATTCGCTTCTTGTTGTGTCAAGGTTTACGACAAATCGTTCGTTTGCGCGCTACTCGTTCACCGAACGTCGACAGGAACGACAACGTTTCGCTCGATACCTCGGACGAACATAACACGATCCATTTTATCTATCTATCTATTATATATATTATATTATATATATATAAATATATATTATCTATATATCTGTCTATTTTGCTTGTCTATCTATCTGCGCTTATGGATAGACAGGCATGCGTTCACTTGCATGTGGGTCTATTGCATGCGTGCCCAAGTGCTTTGCTGTTTGCTGCTCTCCCCGCTAATTTGAAAGTGATCGTGTCATTAACAATTATCGCTAGACGTCCTGACCGACAGTAGAGTGTGATCGGAGGTTCGATGACAGAGAGATAACACGTTACCCCTTGAAGCAATGGGATTTTCGCTTTGGACGTTCGATGATCGTCACAGAGACCCGACGATAACTCCTCGAACACGTGGAAGGGTGATACTTCGGTTATTTTGCGGGTAGAGTCTCCACGAGCGCCGTAAGAGGGGTGTTCTTTAACCTTGGGGTGGGGGGTGTCTTTGCACCAAGTCTTAGTCAGAAATACGAAAAAGTCGGAAGATCGCCGAATCTCGCGTCTCTGGTAACATTAACGAACAGCGTCAAACGATCTGTCCCAGAATCGGTGCAAGGTCACCCCCTAGGTGCAAAGCAACGCCCTTTTACGGTGCCCTGGGTCGGACAAGCGTAAATTCGAACGTGGCCGCTTGTTCTAGCTTCCACGCTAAAGACGTCGTCGTCGAGACGCGCTGCGCTGGAGATCGATCGTGCATGCCGTCTACTTTAGACGAACGTATTATCTTCTTTTCCAAACTAATTCACTTGTCCATGCTCCCCTTCTCCAGTGAATACATCCATCTGTCTGTCTCTACCTCTACCACTTTTGCTCTCATTGTCTCTATACCCATTCGAATCTTTCTCGTGACACTCCAGCTTCTCTCTTTCTCTCGATCCTCAACGTCCACCGCTGGTCCCCCATCTTGGTCGTTCTACTCGCGCTGGAGAAGAAGAGACTCGTCCGAAACGCTCCCCGTTGATCGTGGATCCCGATTTCCCTCGTCTCCAATCGTTCTCGCAATCCTGGTGCTTCGAGGGGGCCTGCGGTATACCGGCTCGGAAAATGCGTGATCCGTGACGACGATCCAACGTTTTTTTCTCTTTCCCTGGCCGTTCGAGCGATCGATTGGAAGAAACCGACGAATAACAGAATATCCCGTTGATCCCCATCCTGCCAGCCTGTCTTGCTAGCTCACTGTCAAGAAGTTGACCTTCGTTTTTGGCCATGGTTGTTTTTTACTACATTTTTATATATATATATAAATACGTAAATATATAAATATATGTGTACACACGTCTGCGTACATGTGTATATATAGACACACCTGTGCGTACGTATGTGTGTGTAATGTGTGTGTACACATGCGAACACGATGTGTGTACATATATACACAGGCATCGTTATATACATAACTGGTATTGACATACATCACATACATGCATATATTTATATATATATTTTCATACTATTGACATACATATATACATATATGTATCGTTATATACATACTGCAGATTATATTGACATTCATTATTACCATTTGTTACCTTTTGTAATATTTGTATTTCGATTTTGTCGTTTTTTCTCTTTGGTTGATTGCAATGCCTTTTGCTATCGGCGAATCAATTTTTTTGCACACCGCGGCGATCACGGCCGTAATTGTTTATACGTATATATACATATACAAAAAAAAAAAGAAAAAAGAAAAGAAAAAAAAATACAAACAAATAAGTGGGAGGAGGGACGAGGGGCGAGGGGTGCGGGTGGGTTGTTGTCCGTTGTTCTTAAGCGAGGCTGTGGGGGTTTGCCAAATGGGCCCGTACATGTGTCACTCGTTAATCCAGACCGATACATATATATATCTATACGTACATATATAGACACGTATCAAAGACCCTCCGTACGTGTGTATATATACGGTGACACACACACTCAGACAATTTCCTTTGTCATACATGTTTCTACCTGGGGGTGCGCGTCGTGCCAAACAAAAATGAGCGTCAACTTCTTGTGCTACCGTCTTACACGCCGTCGAGAGGTAAAAAAAAAAAATATATATATATATATATAAAAATCACTTTCTCGTCAGGCCAGGGACTTCTTCTTCCACCAAAAAAATAAACGTAAAGAGAGGAGCTCGTGGAATCAGAGGAAGAAAGAAAGAGAGAACCTCGTGTACATGCGTAACATCTGGTCATAGCAAATACGTGCTTCTTATACAAAAGTAGTGGTCTCGAGAACGACGAGCCTTGCCTGTTCTTTCTTTCATTAATTTTTTTTCCCTTTTTGTATTTACTTGTTACGTTACGAGTCATATAGTGACGATAGAATGAGAGGAAAGCAGTAGCCAGATACGAGAACGAAGCCAACGGGATACAGAGAGAACGCAGAAAAGATATAGAGACGCTTTTTTTTTTCTTTTCACGAGCTAGCGTCGCGGCTCGTGCACTTGCACACGGGTTGGACAAAATAATATGAACACCTGCAATGTGGATTGTTGAAGGGAGTGGTTCTGTGACTGGACGGCCATGCCTTGGTATCGGGGTGGCTCTGGTACCTTGGGTGATCGTGTACTAGCAACTAGTGCTTGGACATCCTAAGTATTGTATTGTTTCTCAACAATGACGCTATCTTTCGAAGCTATCACTCATGAAGTTCAATCCTAGCTCGAGGATCCCTAGCAACGACTTTTTTGAATCAGCACGGTCATCTGGTTTAGCCACCACCGAACCACTACGAATAATTTTGGAGAACTCTGCGAGAAACAGGCCCACAAATTGTTTCCTCAGTCTTAGTTCCAAAATCGAATGTAAATTTCAACATTTTCCTTGGACCAACCCCTGTCACCCGACTTAAGTACGGTGAGCAGTTTCGGTGGCCAGAGTGAGAACCGATCTCTAAAGCAATTGGCAGACAGTGTTAATTCCACTGGATCCCATACCAAGCTTAAATGCAAATGGTGGTCCAACTCGAAGTAGCATATCCCAGGTGTTCGCATTATTTTGTCCACCCCCTGTACACACGGTACCCGCGTACGTCGTGAGTCGAGTAGTGTCGGAACGAGCGATTTCTCGCGGCGAAGTGGCGAGACGTGTCGTGGCATACACGTATCGTAGACACGGAGAAAGCTAGAGGTGAACTAGGGGCATCTCCCTTCTGCTTGAAACGATCACTTCAAAGTAAACGCACCAAAAAAAAAAGAGAAAAAAAAGAGAGTGGAGAGAAACGGAAATAATAGATAAAAAAAAAGATAGATAGATAGATAGATAGATAGAAGGATAGATAAATAGATAGATGGTAGATCGGTAGATGAAAGAAAAAAAAATAAAAGTGAGCAAGCGGGAGAGAGAGTGGGAGAGTGAAAGCGAAAGCGAGAGCGAGAAAGTTTATTGTGGGGTGTAAGGACGAGCTAAAGGGAAGACAAGAAGTTGATGTTCTTGTTTGTTTGGTTGCAGGAGTTGATGGGTGTGGATGAGCGGGTGTTTGCGTGCATGTACTGCGGTGCCTCGTTCCTCCACCAGAGCAAGCTGGCGCGGCACATCCTCTCGCACAGCCTCGAGTCGCTCAAGTACCGTGAGCAGGCGGCCCACCTGCAGCTGCAGGCTCAGCTGGGCCTCGAACCCGGTATGCACCTGCCGCCGGAGGCCCACTACCCCACAGCAGGTACGATCGAGCCGATGGACCTCGAGCTCGCGGCCCACTCGGACCCGACCTCGGGCGTCGTCCTCTGCAAGTTCTGCGGCAAGTCATTCCCGGACGTCGGATCCCTGATAGCCCACCTACCGGCCCACACTGGCGACAGGCCCTTCAAGTGCGAGTTCTGTGGCAAGGCGTTCAAGTTGCGCCACCACATGAAGGACCATTGTCGGGTGCACACGGGCGAACGTCCGTTCCGGTGTACGCTCTGCGGCAAGACCTTCTCGAGGTCGACGATACTGAAGGCCCACGAAAAGACACATTACCCGAAGTATGTGCGCAAGTTCCTGTCCCCGAGCCCCGTGGATCCCTCCGAGGAAGAGGCCCCGCCGCCGCCACCGCCGCATCATTGAGTTCGCCTTGGCCCGCGCAACAAGAACCGCCACGTTCAACACCGCCGGACGAAGAACCACCGGACACGCCGCCTTGGAGGGTTCCGTTCCCACTCGTTCATCGTTGGTCCGTGGATCGCCTCGCGGACGAGACGATTCGATCGTGCGCCGACACGTTGGACGCCGTCGGACGACGGGAACGGGAACGCGTACACGAACACGGACGCGAGCCGTTCTAGTAGTGCCTCATTCTCGTTCGCTCGTTGTTTCACGCATTTCTTTAATCTTTCCCCGCCACGGTCTCTCCTTGTCATCTCACGCGTCCTCCTCTTGGCGGTACGGTGCCACTTCGCTCCACCGCTCGTCTTGAACGAACGGCGTCCCGTGCGTCGCTTTCACGGGACGCTCGCTCGTACGTCGTCTATCCTCGATTTCTCCCTTTCATCATCGTTCCACGTCACTCCTGTCGTTCTTTCGTTCGTCTCCACGAAGGGTGTACACCTCGCGTCAATCGATCCCGCCGAGCGACGAGGCAACAAACCGGCGGTGTTTCTAGTTAGTCCTGTGATTTTGGTTAGGATGGTTGGTAAACGCGTGTTCAGAGGGAGGGACACGT